TTTTCTTTTTAAATCTAATATTTGAAAATGTAATACAAGATAATTCATAAGTTTGTCTATCTTTATAAAAAAAAAATGACCATAATCAAATCAAATTTCATTTTTATGAGCGTTTGAAGTTCATATTTTTACAATATTGGATAATCACTCGATTTATGATGTAGCGGTTTTGTTATTTTATTGTTATTAAAAAACGAATAACTGTAAATACATGAACATTTTACTAAACGTTTTTATTTTCATATTCTATACATCATAAAATCTTGACCCTTTTTGAGCTGTTTACGGACATTGTCAGTTTTCAATATTTTTAGTTTTTTCCTATAAATATCAATATAATTTTATTTGTTGAGTAAAAAGCGTGAAAATTTATTGCAAAGCTCCTGATATATTTTTACAATAGCACTTGAAAAATATTATAAATACTTAGGCACAATTTTTTTTATAAGCTTTTAAAGCTTTTAAATTTAAAATGTAATAATTATTTTATAGTTAAAAATGTATAAAATGTTCAAATTTTATAGCTAAGGAGTGAAAATTTAAAACAAGGTTCCACTTAAATAGGTTATGTATAAATTACTTTATTCACAATAATATCATCAAATACACTTAGTAATATCATAGGCTGACTGACCTTTTTTTTTTCAGAATCATTTTTCTTATACAATGACATTATATTATTGAATTCAAATTTCACACCATCCATTACAGTGACCCATTTGTAACCTACTGTACAGCAGAGCGACATCCACTTACCCACATTTTTAGTTTGAAATCATAGTGATTAAATAGCTATAGTATATAGCTTAAAATGTACATATGACGTATTCAGTGATTTTTATTTTATCGTTTGGTACCTAATGATTAAAAGCAAGTGATAATAATTTATTAAGGCATTTAAAAATTTTGAATGCATCTATTTATCAGCATATTGTATATACAGACATGTTCTATATTTATCTTAAAATTATCAATTTTCTTTTCTTATTAATTAGTATAAATTATGTTGTCCATCAGCCATTGGTTTTTTTTCATCGTCAGCGTTTGCGCGTGACTGATTAAAATTCAAAACAGATAAAAATATAAAATATTATAATATATATTATATTATTACATATTATCGTTTAAAACATATATCATCAAATACTTATATCATTGCAACAATGCCGTCCAAAGTTGGATACGTATACCGAGAAAATGTATTTTTAACGGTAAAACTACAAATAATCGTTTAAAAGAAAAAAACGTAACCATAACAATTATTGATATCCCAAGGCCCAAGGTAACCATTTATACTCTTGGATAAAAGAAAACACTGTTGTGGCAATCTACAAGACGTAGTAAGTAACTATATACTGCATAGTTTTGATTATTTTCTCCAATTTTTTTTTATTTCGTAAAACAGTAAGTTTTTAAAAATTCCGACGATATTGAATTAAGTTAGATTATTGAGTACCTTCCGGTCCTCAAAAAATGCATTAGTAGTTGGACGAACGCATGTTTTTATTTAAAACTTAGTAAACGAACTGATTCCCTCGAAATTTGAGCTCTTTTATACCAACATTTATGTAGAACATTAACAAGGTATATCCGTATATCGTATTATGTAGTTTCCTGTTGTCTTCCGTTTGTGGTCATGGATGCCTATGGGTTTCTATTTGTTTCTATTTTTTAGCCACTGGTGGATGTGCTCTTGAAAGCCGAGACGGCGAGACGTAAATCATATACATATAGAGTATGTTATACTATATACAAATATACAATAATATGTTATGTATTATAAGGGTATGCGCACCTGTGATCATAACAATATAATATCATACACGCACATTTTAGTTTTCGGTGTCGGATTTGTCGGAATACAATACATATCACCAAACATTACTATTTGTATTCACTCGCATGTCATAGTATATGGTATTTTGTAGGGGGGGGGGGTATTTGATTTTTTTGATTTTTTAAAGCTCAAATCTGTGTTCAGATTGCAAAGGACGCAGTGTTTTTTTTTCTTCTACTATAGTCTTATTATAGCCATATTATAAATTGCAATACATACACATTACCTATATAATAGTATAATATTTATTTTTAATTGCAATAAAACACTGTGATATAAGCAATCAATGCATAATATTACTATGACCTATATTATAAATAATAATACTGATATATTGTGATTTTATATTTTGATATGGTAATAGCATATTACTATATCAGAGAAATCGTTAATGTAGTCGCTAATTCAGTATATTATAATAAATAATCATCTCGCTGGCAACTTTATGAGATCAAATGTACTTAAATTATTATGGATTGGTAGACGTAGCTATTTACTAATAACTATTATTTATTGGTGATTATAGTTATTGAAGTGTTTATTGTAATAACTAATAATACTAATAAAATAATAATAAATACTGATAATATTATGCTAATTTCAATAACTGCACTGTAATGATGTATATTGGGTATAGTTAAACCATATACATAGTATTTTAAAATGTTTATGTATGAATTACACTTTAATTGCCCGTAGGAATTAAACTACGTTATTTAAGTACATTTGCATCTGCAATATACTCGGGATTTACACTTATACTGTATATAGGCAGGTCCCTTCAAAAAGATGAAGGCCGTCTGCAATAGAAATTCATAGGAGTCGGGGGTAGGTACTTAGATCCTTGGTTCTTCTAAAATTATACTAGTCTATAATATAAAGAAGGTACTTAATTAAGCAATACAACTGCACATATATGTGCTATAGCTTGATGCCTTGTCACTCGTATATTGGTATTTGGTTCTTACATAATATATGTATTGATCAATCTGTAATAGTGGTGTAGTACACTATTCTTAATAAACGTATTTTACAATTGATTTCAAAAACATTTAAACGATGTTGTTAATTAGGCTATTTGTTGTATATTATGTATACTTACAATAGGGCAATATAATACGCATTCATCGAGAACTCAGGCCAAGAAACCAACATCACGGAACTATAACGATACCCGATTATGTATAACAAGAACCATAATTAAAATAAAATATAATTATAAACGGCCAAACCACGGTATACCTAATATATTGTGCTTCAATATTTTGTATACAATTTTTTTTTTATCTTTTACGGCCATTCGATGTCGTGTGCAGTGGAGAGATTGTTTTTGGTGCAATGACCGGACTACCGGAGACGGACGAGATTATGTTATTATTATTATATTTTTATCAATCGTGTATATTAAGTGTACAACGAGGTAAATATAAATATATAATAAACTGTAGAGATAATCGGTTTTAGAGACTGCACTGAGATTTTGGACACTGAAAAAACGTGCAAACCGTGTTCATATACTATAATATAGTGTATATTGTCCCGAAAATCAACTGTCCCATTGTTTAAATTGTGATCATTGCACAGTTATAACGTCATTGTGATGTGTTTACGAAACAGATTTCACGACGATATAAAGACATTATCATAAACACGGTCCAAATGTTGTCATTGTCTTGTAATCGCTAGTGTAAAGATAAAGTGCAGGTGTATAAAGTAGAACATTTTAATAAAAAAAAAAAACGTTTTCAAGGCAATATTATATATTTTGATAACAATATCAAAACGAGAATTATTAATAGCGTTACAATTTGCATTCCTGAAATTAATATGATTAATTCATTTTTAAATAAATACCTACCTATACTAATGACTAGGTGCATAATAATATAAATAATTTGTTTACTTGGTATTTAAGAGGTATATAATATGATTTTTTAAACTATTATTGTCAATATTAATTTTCAGTAATATTTATTGATCAACAATGGTCGTACATGTATATATTTCATTTGTTACGCAACCTACACCTGGTACCAGTTATGAATACTTATGATGACGGATTTTTCCGGTTCATTGCAAAAAGTCGTTATAACCGATTTCTATACACTGCTATGCACTCAAACACAATATGTAACTAAAGACTGTATGACGGGGGTCTGATAGATACTACTTATATAAGTTATAGACAAGATGTTATTTACCATAGCCTTATATTATACTAGCTACTGCCCAATAGATAGGTATGCAGTTTTGTTATGTAAAAAAAATTATATGAAAGTTTGGAAATCTTCTTCAGAACAATATGCGAGTGTCGGAGTGTTTATAGTTATTAATTATTACAATATTACATCATGTCAAAAAATGATAAATATTGCATTTTTGATTTTGACATCACATAATATATCAATGCAATTAATTTTGAGAACTCAGATTTGACGAACACGTTTTCCGTGTTTTATTAATTTATAGAAGTATTGCTCGGTTATTTGTAGTATTATTATTTTTATTTTGAATGGTGCCTAAATTTATTGATCGAACGCTCACCGATACATCAGTTATTAATTGTATATATTTTTTACTTCTAGGCATTTATATGAAAAGGTTTGAAGACCTATACATTTTAATGAGAAAATACATTAACTCTAAGCTCACAAATCGAACCGATTAATGACCATTTAATTCTGTAACAAATTTTGTTATTGATTTCTTCTCATTTGGTAACAATAAATAATACTTCTAATTTTCGGTTTTTTTTTGTCACGACAATAATCGATTACAAAAGCAATTATAAAACCAATCGAAGTAATTAATAGACAAAGGTCTTTAAACAAATAAAATTGTCCGGATCTCCGTTATAACGAAAAATCACCGAAAGACGTATTATTCATTGCGTAATTTTATATAGATTAATCATTGGCGTAACTATACCGCATTAATTGATGGGCAAAGATTGCTTGGAAGAGTTGAAACAACAAAAACAAAAAATTCCCACATTTATTTTATTCTAGGAAGATGAACTATCCTAAACTTATTTACTAATTAGTGTAATATCCTCGATTATTTAAATGTATTTTATACGTGTTGATTTGTTGTAATATACTAATATATACATTGCTACTATATATATATTGGTGTTAAAATACGTTTCTTAAACTTTGTTTAGATTCGATACTGGCAAAGATGGATACTTAGACTTGGGAGAGTTGAAACGGATGATGGAAAAGCTGGGTGTTCCGCAAACTCACCTGGCGCTCAAAGCCATGATCAAGGAAGTCGACGAAGACTGTGACGATAAAATAAGTTTTAGAGAAGTAGGTATCTATATATTATACTATATATTTTCACTTATAAGTTATTTATTAATTTATATCTTTCATCACAAAAATAAATCGTAGGAGTGTCTGGGTAGCTTATAATATTATCTTTAGAGTTTAGGTGTCGTCGGGCCATGTATTACATTATTGTAGAGGCCAGTGAGAATTTTTTTGAGTGGGCATTACCATCCACGTTAACATTTGGAGTATTTATAAAATATGGAACTATATAACTATAATATAATAGGATACCTACAGTAAAATAATATCGATTTATTAAGAAATATAATATAGTCATATATAGGTAGGTACTATGATATATTATATTATTTATAGTTGTATACTTGTATACATCTCATATGAAATAAAGATGATTACATAATATAGTATACCTTGTACCTATGTTAATTATATTATAGAGTGACAGAGTGTAATAAATGTATTTTATGTATTTGTAAAATATATTAAAGATGTAAACGATTCAAAATATTATTAGAAAATAGCATACCTAATTATTTAATAAAAGTTACAATGATATTCTATAAATGGATAAGGAACCTTAGCTGATCCGCTTGGAGGTATTATGCTCATACACAAAATACGTTACCTGCCGCGGGCATGTCTACGTCTGCAGTAGTGAGGTATATCGTATATCCACAAAATAATAACCTAATACTGCCGAACACTCGACAGTCGGCACGTTTTTATAATAATTATATTATATAAAGGCTTTAATATGCGCATGAAAAATATACACAAAGAATTGGATAAAACTCTAGCCACGCGAGAACGTTAATTTTTCTATTCTATAGTGACTATATATAGTATATAGTATATAGTATATAGTCTATACTCACAATATATTATTATTATTATTTACTACGCTCTTTATTACTTTAACGTTTTTGTCTGTATAAACTTTCCCATATTGTTATTTGTTTGTATATATATACATTTTTTTTTGCTTTCGGTTAACAATCTAATACGGCGAAATAAGTAGTGTTTTATTTGAAAGTAATAGTAAAAAAAATCCACATTAAACATTCATAAACATTACCAATTGCATAATACTTTTATACGAATAGTTCGTATCTATACAAATGCGTTTGTTATTTTTTTGTGCACCTATACATGTTGTACTTCTCTTCTCTATGACACAACAACAATAATGATGTATCGTAGTAAATCGTATATATACCTAATGCGTAGTACATCTAGTATCTACGCCTACCTAGTTCCTACAACCTACCTACCTAATAGATGCGGTGTATGATGTATATAATATATTAGATTTAAGTGTTTATGACATTTCTACGTTTTTTAATACTTTCTCTGAAGACGCAACTTGTTTGAATTTTTTTTTTTGATACAATTTGTGTATTATTATGACGTCTTCCGGAGAATTTAAGATAATTATCTGACGAGGGTGGCAAAAAAATGAAAATGTTGTACACTTGTACCTAATAGCTTTCACTCGCTCTGCACATCTCAATCTATATGGCGTGTATACACTAAACGCTTATAGGCGCAATTTCAACTTTTGACATGGGGGGCTGAATATATTAAAGACAAGCCTTAGACCATTGCACTATAGCATTTTAAAATTGTATGTCCTAGGTTTTTTTTTCGGAGAGGAGGCTTAGCCACCCTCCCCCAATTTGCGCCTATGCATACAGCATATTACCTGAACTACATCAATACAAACTTAAAATTTTTATTTAAAATCAATACTAGTTCCGTTTACAAGAAACACTCTGTAAAAGCACCGGCCCATCCTTAATTAGTACCTAATTATCATTAAAAATACGCAAACATTCTTCGATTAATACAATCATTCACCGATACTACATGGTCATTTAAGTTTATGTAAATTACAATTTTAATATTTATCAATACATTAACACATTTTCAGAGATAAGACACTTAATAAGCGTATAATAAACGTGTGGTTAAATATTTTTTTTATGTATCTGTGAGCCGATCTTGTTGAGACGATTCCATAACGTTGCGGTTGTTTTGTGAGATTGTTTAGAGTCTTGCGTAATTACCATATTACAGTGGCGTATTTACCATGGGGGGGGGGATCAAATGGATCAATCCCTCCATAGGATGTATATAATGAAAAAAAATATTATCTTTAAGGCCTCTAGTTTTAAAGAGGGGCTACTGGATAAAATCATATACCCCCTTTGAAAGAATCATAAATACGCCGCTGCCATATTATGAACAGGGATGAATAATTTTAACGATATAATTAGGTTATGTATAGGTAAGATGCAATTTAAAGGTATCGTACAAAACCTTTTCTATTTCTACCAAAGTTTTGTATTAGACGAGCGATGCCTACGGTTATTTGATTACACAGCTTAACCTACTTATTGCGCATGATGTTGTACATAATATTTTTGTATATCGATTAATATGTCATAATTTTGTCGTGTTTGTTTGTGTACAGTTTTTGCTGATCTACCGCAAAGCGTACGACGGTTCGTTGCCCCTGGACTGCGGCCTCAACGAGCTGGCCCGACTGACGGAAATCAACGTTGACGAAGTCGGCGTGATCGGCGCCAAAGAGTTTTTCGAGGCCAAGGTATAATATATAACGATCAGTTTGTGTATACAATAAATACATTTGGTTATAAATTACTTATAATTGTTGTTATTGTTCGTTGTGGTTGTGCTAAAACGCGTTCCGGTCGTGTTCGCAGATTGAGTATCAAGGCATAGCGAACCGGTTCGAGTACGAACTACGACAGGAGATTGAAGAGAAGAAACGGTCAGAAGACGAGATGTCCAAACGAAAAATTGCGTTCAAGGAGAAGACTGCTATTTTTCAATAACTCCTTCGGGAAATACACTCCTCCCCACCCGTTCAATTTCCTATTTAACTATACCCTCACGGTGACGATTGTGTATGATACCTAACCTATATATTATTATTATTATGTGTAATATATTCTTGATGTAAAGGTTTTACCTTAAAAATTAATTTTAAAATCATCATTATTTATTATTTAAAAACTCACTATATATATTTTAATTTATACATTAAGTAGGTGCATCGATTGTTCCCCGAAATCGTTAAGGAAAATTGTTAATTTTTTTATTATTATTTCTGTCGTAATATTATTGTATGATTTTGTTTTGTAAATGTTTCTTAATACGAGTTACGCCTATAACTGAATTTTAATAAAATGTAAAATATGTAATTATAACCTACAACAATCGAGTTGTTTTTAAAGCCCTAACGATATGCATATAGTAATTACTAATTAGTAATAAGAATAACTAATAATATGTGTTTTAAGTGTTCTAAACGGCATTCTTTGGTTTACCATGTGAATATATAATGTACATTTACTGTTCACTGATAAACAATAAATAGTAACTGCGCCGCTAACTTCCAAATACCGTATAATATGCTGTATACATAAATATATAAATTCAATATACCTTAGCGGCTAAGTTGTGTGCAGTTTATATGCACAGTATTGCTATAATATAGCCTATAAGTATTACCATAGAAGTATGTATATAAAAAATTCTTTGTTATGGAGGTGACTGGTCAATTCATAAGAAAAAGATATGGAAATAAAAAAAATTATTTTTGGTAAAGTATATAATATATATATTTGTCATATTATATACCTTAACGGCAACAACACGTTTGGGCATTTTATCCCAAATTGAGACACGTTTGGGCACAAAATCACAACACGTTTGGGCACTCTATATCCCTAAAAAGATACCACGTTTGGGCACTAAAATGTAAAATGTATATACCTTTGTTTAAAAAGTATATAAAGTATATACATACGAGCATAATATATATGTCAAAGTTGCAGTGATTACGCGTGTATCGGGAATCGTTGCTGCGCTCCTCGGCGCTGATCGAAAAATATCCCCAGACTTGCTATGCAACACCACCTTAAGTAGGTTACAACTTACAAGGTAAGTTATGTCGTAGTATATGGACAGTGATTACACAATTACACATTAAAAAAAAAAATAACTAAAAAAGGGTGCCCAGTAAAGTAGAAATATACTTATATACCAAATTTTAATATTGAAATTTTATTTTTTTCTTAATTATTACTTATTTTTAACATGATTAATAACCTAACAGTCAATACAAAATATTTTATACAATATTAACATATGTACATATTTTATATACTTTTTAAATAAAGGTATATACATTTTACATTTTAGTGCCCAAACGTGGTATCTTTTTAGGGATATAGAGTGCCCAAACGTTGTGTGCAGGATTTTGAATACTAAACAGGTAAAAATGCCCAAACGTGCTGCACCGACCTTAACATGCGGTGATGAGGCATTTGGCCGTGGCCGTTTTGGCGTGATAAATTTGGACGACTCAAGAGCGTATAGAGTAGTTCGGATGGCGATGGTGGACGTTTGAGTGATTTTGTGGGTATCTATTACTCTATAAATCATATTATAACTTACAAGTGTAAGTTTTTTGAAATTTGGAAGGGGTGAGAGCCAAAAATTTCTCGACCATATACTTATTTTAGGTACTGCTGCAGATAGTAGCGATTTTATAACGATTGAAATTTGAATTATGTGTTTTTATAATTTATTTTTGTATTTATTAAATTATATTTATTTTTGTGTCTGTGTATGCGTATTATAGTAGAAAAAACTCTTAGATCAATAATGTGGTTCTTGGTAGCAAATTGGATCTAGTTGGTACTTTCGGTAGGTAAACAATTCTCAGCTAGTATACTTTTCAAAAATATTCTGGAAAAACAAAAAAAAATCAGGGAAAATGGGAAGGTTTATTTATTAATATTTAGATACAATTCAGAAAATATTGTATTTTCAATTAGAAAACGAGTTGTAAAACCCAAAACATAGTAAGTATTGTAAGAACATTAATTCAAAAAAAATATCTTATGTTACAGGTTTAAATGTTGAATTTAATTAGACAGTGCGGTCAGTCATAGGGTCTTCATTGGCGAAACGCATTAGATGGCGAAGAGGGGAATTAGATAAATAGTTAGTAGTGGAGAGAGGTATGTAAAATAGAGTAGAATTTCTTAGTTGACGAGAAGGCACTTTAAAGTTGACATCAATTAGTAGGGTGGAGAGTCAACATGGCCAGGTATAGGTTTTGTTAGGAATGATAGATTCGCTGTTTGACGAAGATCTAAAAGGCTGCTATCAGTGCTCGGATCAAGCAACCGATTAATAGACTTGTAGTCGTGTGGGGGCAATTATTATATTTAAGTTAAAAGCTACAAAACTCAAGAATTTCCTTTTCACCCTTTCAATCGTTTGGCGGTCGCAAGAAGTTAAAGGATCTCATAATACTGAACCGTACTCAAGTATAGCCAGTATAGGCCTCACTTAAGTGCAGTATAATGGTTTTAAAAGTTCAGATTGTCTAAAACCACCCGTGGTTCTCTGAAGAAATCTAAGAAAATTTTAAGCCTCACAAAATATTTCCTGGATGTGCAAATATTGATCGTAAGAACTTGAACGTTTCACTATTATTTAAATTAGGATTTTCCATACTCAGTCAAATTTTCAAAAAGCTTAAAAATGTTACATAAGTTGTTCACTATCACGAAAAGTTGTAAATTATTTTGTACTTAAAAAATCTATAAAATGTTCAAGATTTGACAATTTAATACAATAGGTTCCTTATATAAGTAGTTATTTCTAAAACCTAAAAATTCTTAAAATTGTATAAGATCATTTACTTCGATAGACATTTAAAGTTAAAATTTTAACAAAATTAGATATTCAAACGAAGAATAATGATTTTAGTTAATGTAATTAAAAAATATTATTTGAGGATACTAGAAACTTTTACGTATATTGTTATCTATACAATAATATATAAAAATTAATGTTAATGTGTGTGTGTGTGTGTGTATGTCCTTTACGCATTTCTAAACCGTTCATCAGACTGCGATGTAATTTGGTACAGAGATAGATTAGACCTTTGGGAAGAAGATAGGCCAATTAAAAAAGGGTAAATTAGAGGTCCAACCCTGGAAGGTAATCAAACAGGGATTTTGAGATTTACGATGGAAATGTTTGTTTGTAAATGGTTGCTACTGATTTTAATAATAATAATAATTATTATTAAAATGATCCGCCTGTTGGCGCTGTGGCACTTCTATGTATTTTAATACAGAATTATGTTTTAACTTCGAACCACGATTTCGGTTGACCAATTTTTTGCATTATTTTTTCATTGTTTTTTTTTATTTATTGGATTTTAGAACGATTATGTTGGGATTTTTTTCAGAGCAACTAGTATTTTATATTATACACATTGACATTTTAAATATATTAAGATTGATGAACCTGTTGTGTATTTACACCGATCTACGATAAATTATCGATTTGAAAGCTAACATCAATAATATGTTATATCATAATATTTTATACGTCTTGATGTAAATATATAGAGTGTACTAGTTAACTCATCCATTTCAGAAACACTCTGTATATTATTATTTATTATAATAATATTGGAGATGTAATTAATGGCTTGTTTTTGGCAAAAATTTGTTCAACTTACGGGTTCACTAATTCAGTGAAATAAATTACTATAATTTATAGTGCTATATACAATATATAGCACTATAAATTAATATAATATAATATAATAATATTATACAAATACATAATAAAATATATTTATTACTTTAGGCTCACAGTCCTTTTCCGCGAATCAGAATCATTTTTCGCATTCAATGATTTATCGTTGAATTCAAATTTAACACATCCATTAGTAATTACTCATTACTCATTAATGTAATCACAGTGACTTAGTCAATGACGAATGACTATGTACACTAGACACCTAATGTACCCACCTATAACAAAACGGTTACCTACTTTCCAACTTTTTTTTTAAGGTTTTTTCCTATTATTCTCTGGTCATTTTGAGATCGAATTTCGTTGGTGTTTTATTTTATAGTGTTCGAGTTTTCGAAATCGTATACAGTTATTACCTATCTTAAATATAATATCCAGTATCAAAGAAAATTTATCGTTAATTATTATCATCGAAAGTAAATGAATAATATGCAATTACATTATATTTTGTTATTATTTTTATTTCTGATTGTCATTATTTTCCAGCGAATTCCTATGATCGCGAACGAAATATTTTAGTCGAAATTTATTTATGTATTTGTTTGACAGTCTTCTCATTTTTTGAAGTTATCGCTATAAAGCTGAATACAATGTTCGTGTGCATTGTGCATATATCTGATTCAGTGGGGCCCATTATCTTCTTGAAGAATAAATAATAAAAAAAAAAATCTAATAACGATTTTTCATTATAAAACTAATAATTTAACACACAAACATGATTCAGAATCTACTAAAATTGAGACAATGACTGAGTTTGTCGTATAAAAAAAATTAATAGCTGAAGAGACGAAACCTTCTCCAATCATAGTTATGTGTTAAGAACTTGGATGTACAATTACTAATTTCAAAATACCATGTCATCATGGCTCACTATCAAGCCACCACGACCATTTGCGAAAATATGAAAAACAGATTTGGCAATGTGGAAATTGAGGAGATTTGCTCTCTGTTTATACAACAATTTTCTAGAGCAACTTTGCCCTATTTTAACGAGATCGAAGCTAATCACAGAAGTCTTATGTTAGCCATTAATAATGATGATAATAGAGTTCGACGGGGATTGGGGCAAACATTCAGGCGTATGGCCAACGTTCTGTATGGTGTATGCTCAAAGATTGATGTTGAATTCATTATAAATCAAATAACAGAACTAAATCGAAGCAAAGTACCTAGTAAAAGCAATATTCCGGAAAAGATCAGATTC